TGATTAAAGCAATCACAAGCACATCTCAACAATACAAATCGCCTCAAAACCAACTCACCACAATAAGTCACAAAAATATCAACCTTCATGCCTTTGTCCCCAAAATAAAACGCCTCAAGAATTTAACCAAATAAAATCAACTCAAGCAATTCAAACTAGCACAACAAATCCAAACTAGCTCTCATATCATCATCGCAAAATTCCACGTATGCAATCTCATGCTCAAACACAAGCAAATAACATGCAACAATCTAAGAATTCATACTCTAAGGGGCATAAATATAATCACATAATAAATTATGAATGCTCACAAATAAACCACCTCCCCAAACTTAGAGCTTGCATATATCATTGACACTCAAATAAACACAAAAGCACAAAAATGGAGGTAAAAGAAACGAGTTCACCTTAGTAAATGCAGAGGAAGTCTCCGAACCACGCACATCATTGGGTTGCCTCCCAACAAGCGCCTCTTTTTATTGTCGTTGGCCCGACTTATTGCTCATTTTTCATCAAAGGATCCATGGAGGCTTCGGAGGTGGCCTCAAGGGGGCCACAAACCTCACCATGTCATGCTTGACAACATCCCATATCCTCGGTGTTGGGTGCTTCACAGGATCTTTCCTCCATGACGCTAGTTGCTCAAGAATATGTAGCAGTCCGTGCTCAATCACGGTCATCGTCTCATCAAACTCCAACTTACACCTTTCGTTCGGCTCGATCGTCACAAGAGGCTGGATATTAAGGCTCAAGACATGCTTTAGTGCATCTTTACTCAGCACCCATTTCATATTGGAAGGGATAAAACATGGTTCAGCTTCTATCGGCACAAGAGAATGGAGAACGGTACGCTTTTTGGCTCCAGCAGGTCGAGTATTGGGTCCAACAAGTCGAGTACGGGGTATCCCAGTATTCTGCTGCTTCGACTCTGCTTTCTCTATATTCGTGATTTTTTCGTTCTCCGGCTCGTATGTGCACTCTTCAGGCTCTTTGGGGTCCTCGCTGCAC